GGTCTATGGAAGGAGACTTTCCTCCATTCGGCTGCCTCTGGACTGCCCCTTCCTCTCCCTTTCCTAGGTCTTGTTCTGATACAGAACTGTTTCCTCAGGCTTAAGTCCTTGTCTTCACTCACCCAGCCATAGAATTTGCCTCCTCCTCTAATGGAGTAAGAATATAATCCAGCTGCCTGCCCCAGTTTCTCCATTTCAACAGAGCCATGATACTCGTATGTAAATATAAAAGGAAAACAACAGCTCGGAAGAGAGCAGGTTCTGCTCTTATGCCAGGAGTCCAAAGAAGCTGTTTCCAGCTCCTCAGCACATAGAAGAGGAAGCATACACGGAGACTTTTCCCCACTAAACACCTCACTGTGGAAAAAGGTTAAGTTTGTTTGCACAACAAATGCTCAGATAAAACATCTCCATGCACTAGGGCCTGTTATCACCACTCTGACCGACTGGATGCAGGGAAGATAAACAGAACAAAAGCCAAGCGGATTCAGCGGCTGCTTGCCAAGCGGAAGCCAAGCCGGAACAGGTTCTTCTGTGCAAACATGTAAACAAATCTATACAAACAACTCTGAATCACTGAGAGGAGGGTGAGGCAAGAAGAAACGTAATTGATGTATTCAGGAAACTTGACATGTGCCCCCAAAACAGTGTGTCACACTGGGGCACTGAAATGTATGCCTGATTGGAACTGGACGTTGACCAACCTTAATTATCTTCCTGCTCTTGATAATGGCCTTGCTCAGTAAGATTCCGGAAGCCACACAGAATAAGCAATGAGCAGCGGCAGTCCTGCATGCTTGGCAAATGACAAAGCCATAGATAGCGTTTGTATCTGAGTGGCAGATGCTGCCAAAATGCAGAACACACGGGGCAATCTTCTGCTGGCCCAGAGAGTTAATGGACTCACCCTGCTTCCTACAGTACTCAGAGCTGCAAAGAGCTGAGTAGTAACAGGCATTCTGGAATCTGCAAAGAATTTGGGCTTGGCCTTTCTTGTTCTTCTTCTTCTTCACTTATTACCAAGAAACATGTTTTCAGTTCCTTTTAGTTACCAAGAAAGCTATTTGTATAGGCCAGCTTTTCCCAACCAGGTACCCTCCAGATCCGTGCGACTACAACTCTCCGTGGACCGCAGTCAACTTCCACAGTCGCTTAACAGCACACCATGCATTTGCCTCTTCGACAGACTGAGCTAGAATGGCCCTGCTGCCTAGGAATGATGGGAGGTGTGGTACAGTCCCTCTGCAGGGTGCCAGGCTGCGGGGAGCTGGCTCAGGCCATGGGTTGGATGGACGGATGGGTGGATAGCAGGTGTGATACTTTTTTCTCAGCAATGGCAGAAAGCACCTTTCTGCTAGGTCAAAGAAATGATGTAGCCAAAGGCAGCTACTGAGCAGCAAAGTCTGGGTGTTCCTTAGCGAGATGGGCAGCAAAGATTGCAACCAGCAGCCAATTCAAACCAGCAGCCTCAGAACGGGCTGGTTTGAATTGCAGTAAAAAGCCAAAGCTCTCCCGTAGAGCAGGGGAAGGGAATGTCACACCTGGGGCCAAATCCAGCCCTGCTTGGCTCCTGACTTGCCCTTCTGGGGGTTCTCAGATGGCCACCCCCCCTTTCCACAACCTCTGATTATTTGGGATGTTCTGGCCTTGGTGCCATTTTGTCCCAGTATAAAAGGTTCCAGTGCCTTTCTTAAGGTGCATTTACTGACTGCAAGAACTTTAAGCTCTTCCTTGAAAACTTAACATGCCTTCAGAAAGTGTAAGAATTAATTGGCAAAGCAAGAATTAACCAATACATTCATTTGGAGCCAGACTCAGTTCATCAATTAATCAACTGAGTTCTGTAACTTCTGGAAGAACAGATCACCAAAACTAGGGGGCAAATTCAGTCTTGTAACTTCTCTCACCGCAGAATACTGTCAGTCACCAAGTTGCCCAAACTGCTTCCTAATGTATGGTAATCTTGCTTTTGCAAAACAAATTCCACAAATTCCATTCAGCAGCATAACAGATTATGAACAATGAGGTACCTCCTTGTTCAATTAATGAACTGACAAGTCATTTTGGCCACAACTTGTGGGTCTGCGCATTTTAAAAGCAAAGCAAAACAAAAGGAGCCACACATTTCTAGCATTCCAGTTATGTAGTTTTAAACTGATGGGCTGGATCACATTGCACCAAACTGTTGATCCCATAAAACCATTTGACAGCACTGGCCTAGTTGTGAACCTGGGCAGGAAGGGCAGGAAACACTCACCAAAAAATAAAAAAGAAGCATGCTGGACAAGGACAACAATCCATCTGCGCCAGACATCTTATTCCAGGGCAAGAGCTCATTACCAACAGCTGGCAGTGAACACCATCTCTTATTATTTCCCCCCCATGTGACTGATGGCCTGCAGCTGGCACTGTTAGCTCAGAAGGCTACCGGTGTGCTTGTGCTCCATGACTAGCCATGTAGCAGATCTTTATTTTATTTAGATTCCCAACTTTCCATCCAAAATGACACTCAAGACATTTTACAGAGACAATTAAAATGGACTACAGCACTAAAATAGACTAAAAACAAAAAAAAAATCTCACAGTTAAGACTGAAAACCCAACCTGGAAACCGCCTTGCAGGCCAAAAACCTTCTTGAATGAGGTGGTCTGTGCCAGTCACTGGAAGGACAGCAGTGGCAAGAGCAATCAGCCTGCTGGAGAGAGTTCCACAGCCTGGGAGTAGCGACCAACGGGTCCCCTCTCACATCAGCACCAAACATGCCTCTGAAAACGGGCCTCTCAAGATGGTATTTAAAACGGTGTGCTATTTATCACAGCATCCTAGATGTTGTGCTATGTGGTAGGCATGGGATGATACAGGTTAACTTCCTGTTGTATAATGAAATTTGTCCCTCAGCTCTTAAAAGCACCCTTGAGCTGTTTCAGAAGATCATCTTCAGTTCTTACATTCTGAAAGCAAGCAACTGTTCTTTATTCTGTACACTTCCTTGCTCTACTCTGCATTCTCTTATTATACAAACCAATGGAGGGCTCTTTGTGTTAAATCCTTTCAGTTCTGACTCTCAGCAAGTGGACTTCCACGTGTGCAGTGGGACATCCTCTTGCTCTCCTCTTCCCTGGTCTGGAAGGCTCCCCAACTCTCCAAAACAGATTCATGGTGTGCATGGGGAAATGCATTCCACCAACAGTTTCCATTCCTTTAGCCAGTAACCTGCATCAGATACAACCCTTTTCTGGTAAGATAAATGCAATCTGTCCCCTTGGTTCTTTTAATTGCACTTCTGCTTTCCTATACAGGCAGTCCCCAGGTTACGAATGAGTTCCACTCCTGAGAAACTGGAAATTCATCTTTAAGTTGAATTTGTAAGTAAGCTGGATCACATATAGTCCGTCCTCCACACTTTTGGGAATTAGGCACAGGATCCCGGTGGAAGTGGAAAAAACACAAAAATCTCCAGCCTCCCATAGCCCAAATTCACTGGTGCCTCCTTTTTACAGCTAGGAAATGCTGGAGGAATTTTCCTCTCTGGATGGGCAAAGCAGGCAGGCCTGCTTTGGAGCGCCCCCCCCGCCGCCCCGCTTTGATCTCTCTCTCTGGTGATATATATTTGTTAAAATACTGCTGGAAATTATTAATAGGCTTTATGGCAGTTTGTTCATAATTACAGATGTTTGTAACTCAGAGATTGCCTGTATTCTTTTTGAGATGGTGGTATTCCCAGACAGCACATTTTGTTTTGTTCCATTTTAATCCCTATCTAATTAAGGGTCTGTCCCAACTTGTTCCTTCAATACAATACTCCAGATAGGATTATAGCCAAAATACCATGAGCTGATTTGGAAACATCTTTCTTAGTTCATTTCACTTGAATAACCAACCAGATGAAGAGATGTATACAAATCTAAAACTTGCATCAAGCATTTTAACAAAAGTTGATCAAAGAACAGGCAGTGTGCACTGCTGCTTGAGGCCTACTGAAAGCTGTAGGGCTTCTTTTCTGTCTAAACATGCACAGGATTGTACTCTAAAACGTTAATCCACTGCTTCCTAATACAGCATTTCTCCCTGCACCCTACTTCTCCTTTTTGCCTGGAGTTTGGTGAAAAGGCAGGATAGAGATACATTTACAAATGCTTTACATTTTTTACTGCCATATCACAGATCTAATACTTCGGGAAGCTTCCCATTATGACTTCACACTCTCCTTGACCTATGCATTTGCAGTTCACAGCTGTCAGTGCTTTGACATCATTAAGAATATTTGTTGTTTGCAGTTCCTGACAATGGATCACACTAGGCATGATGCTATGGCACTCTTTAAGTGGAAGGCTATGCAGGAGAAATGCCCTTTGGCACAACAGTACCTGGCACTCTGCCCCTTCCTTGCCAGTCTTTATCGTCACAGATTAATGTGAGAAGTGGGGTGTGGGAGAGAGCAATTTTTTCCTAAGTTGTTAAGCACCATATTATGCAGAGGCTGTGATGATTCCATGCAGCAGGGCATCCAGATTCAGAACAAGCTTCCAGGACCCAACAATGGCCTGCCCAGGTTGCAGCAATTCATTGTTTCTGCCTTGTAAGGGACAGTGATCCTACTACAGCTCCTGGCAGTGCCTGCCCAATGGGGAAACTCAAAGAGGACCAAAAGCTCTGCCTCATGACTTCACTGCATGTGAACCTGCTTCCCTTCTTCAACTACCACTCCCAAGATATGGAAGGCAGAAGTAATACTTTTGCTCTCTGTCTATGAGTGGACCTCTATCCACCTCTGTTTACCAGAGCTGTGAGGATCCAGTTCCACCAAATGATCCAGCAAAGGCTATCTCCATCCCAGGAAGTTACTCTTGGATGTCCCAGAAATGCATTATGATCATTTCTTCTCAAAGAGGGTCCCCCTGTACCCCACGATCTGATCCAAAAAAAATCCTGAATATCCCCTTCGGCACTAGAGGTGCTGTGTGGACTCTCCTGTAAGGATTGAGAGCACTGTACTTACGGACAGGGTAAAACGAATCTCGACACAATTGCAGTTTTTGGAAAGCCTTTTTCGTAATGCTCTAATGGCATCCTTGGGCCTGTGATAATAAGGAAAAGCAAACAAACAGAGAACACTAATTATTTAACATGTTATTTACGTAGGGAAAAGTAACCAGAGCTATGGGATCAGATGTGTCACTATGTTCATTTCTTGCTGAAATCCCAGAAAAGGAAAATCTAAATAAGACTGGAATACTACATTATATTATAGTAGCGCAAGATTACCATCATTATGATGGGTGGATTGTGCACATGGAAGGAGTTGTGTAGATGGGTGCGCTGCATCCCCGCTTCTGAAGAGCAGGCCACACACAGTCAGGTGAGGATATTCTCTCGGTAATATCCCCAACGACAAAGGGATGCTTCTCCCTACAGCAGGAGAACCTGTGCGACCCTCTGTATGTCCTGGGCTCCAAAGTTCATCAATAATGTGACCAATTGGCAAAGATGATGGGCACTGAAGTCCAACATTTGCAGAGCCATGGATTGCCACTTCTGCCCTACAGGCCTGAAAGCAGCCATTGCATTTATATGGAAGAAAGTAGGACCATATAGCCAGTGACACACTGGGGTGAGCTTTAACCCTTCTCTCTTTGCTAAGAAACCTCCCATATTCCTTCCAAACCTTGGCAAATCCAGCCTGCTCAACCCCTAATCAGCATAACCAATAACCCTGGAATCTCTCACTTGGTCATCCTGGAGTAGGGCAGAACCACTGCGAATGAACTTATCCTGATGCAAATAATACGGAGATTGTGAGAGGTCATGTATCTATGTTCGGTGTTTTTGCCTTGTTTTTTTGCAACTTGTAAGCCTCTTGGTAGAGCCTTGCACAGCAGAACGAGAAGCGCTCTCTTCCACAGGCAGCCCTTCAACATGTTCTATTTACATGTAAATTCAGCAGTAGCAACACTGAGTATTTAAGTATTGCGTGGAAGAACCACCCTCGCCAAGAAGATGAGTTTATTATATTCATCTCTGCTTTTGCATTCACAGCAGATCAAGTGGGTTTACAAGAAGAACCATTGCCTAAATTATCACTCCCACTCTCCAAGACCAAATGCTGACAACATTTGATTAACCCTATCAAAAATTTTGTGGCAAGTTACACAATGGTTCGGGTGTTAACATCATTATCCTGGCTCTCTTCCAGTATAATTACAGGATGCTTCAAGACAATCTGGATAATTCCCCTGCATGCTAGCAGACAAACAAGTGCACTCCACCTCGGAGATGGCTGCAGAGATGGAGGGTGGATGTTCTTCCAAGGACACTTTGCATTTATTTATATACTTCTGTAAAGGGTGTGGTAGAAACAAAGAGAAACTTTTGTTCTTCACTTTAAGAATCTTACAGTGGAAAGGAAGTGCACATTTTCTAAATACATGGATATGTTATTTATTTATTGCTAAGCACATGAATATGCAGCCTATTTTTAAAAAATGTTGTGCAACAAAAGCAAATGTTGAGTCAAAGGAGTGGGCCGTAGCCCACACAACTCCCTCTCTCTGGTTTTTCCAGCTCTGGAAAAAATCACATGGCAGTCTAATCCAGCAGTGTTCTCATTAACCACAGGTAGCCACATGCTTTTCAGGAAGCCTATAGGCAGGTCAGTGGCATCTGCCTGATGTCTGCCTCCAGTGCTGGGTATTTTGAGGTATTAAGAGTGTATCTGAGGCAGGACTAATTTAAGTCCTATTCATTTGAATGGTTTGTGTATCCTAGATCGGACTAACACCTTTTCAATGACAGTGGAAATTAAGGCTCAATTCAGCTTGAGCTGAGCAGGGCGGAGCTTGAGCTGAGCAGGTGGGAAGAGCTGCAGATGGTCAGGTAGGTGGAGAAGAGGAACAACATCCTGGTGACAAGGAGTCCCTGCTAGCAAGGTTGAGATTGCTCTAAGGCAATGCAATTTCAGAGACACTCTCAGGTGCTGCGGTCCAGTAGTTGGGGCATGGCAAAGACTAAAAGAAAAGGGCATGGGAACAGAGTACAAAAAGCCAGCCTGTTTGCATTTAAAAGGTCTTGCGGCCAGTAAATGCACCTTAAGAAAGGCACTGGAACCTTTTATACTGGGACGAAATGGCACCAAGGCCAGAACATCCCAAATAATCAGAGGCTGCGGAAAGGGGGGTGGCCATCTGAGAACCCCCAGAAGGGCAAGTCAGGAGCCAAGCGGGGCTGGTTTTGGCCCCAGGTGTGGAATTCCCTGCCCATGCTCTACGGGAGAGCTTTGGCTTTTCGCTGCAATTCAAACCAGCCCGTTCTGAGGCTGCTGGTGGCTTGTGGTTGCAATCTTGGCTGCCCATCTCAATTAAGCAACACCCAAACTCAGAGGTTTTGCTGCACATTGGCCAGCCTTTGGCTACATCATTTCTCTGACCTGGCAGAAAGGCACTCTGTCACTGCTGAGAAAACAAAATCGTACCTGCCATGCACCCATCCACCCTCCCATTGCCTGTGCCAGCCCCCCTCAGCCTGGCACCCTGCAGAGGGACTGTACCACACCTCCCATCATTCCTAGGCAGCAGGGCCATTCTAGCTCAGTCTGTCGAAGAGGAAAATACATGGCGTGCTATTAAGCGACTGGAAGTTGACTGCAGTCCATGGAGAGTTTGTCTCTTGTGCAAACAGCTGAACAAACTGCATCAGCTGCATCTTCTCCTCAACAGCGGCCAGTGCTCTCAGGTAGCACGTGGGGGGCAGGTACGCTATGAGTCTGTCCGCCCTGCCAGACCTCCCATCAGTGGGGTCCGGTGGGTCTCTTTGTGTGTGAGTCAAGTATGTTCTCATCAAAGAGTGTTGTAGGACCTTAAAACCTGCTGTCATTATTGTGGCTGATGCTTTTGTGGACTGGAGCCTGCTCTGCAGCTTAATCAACAGCCGAGCTCAGGCTTTCCAAACCTGAAGTCCTTCAGATATTATGGATGGCAGCTCCCAGGATTCCTGACTTTTGGTTGTGCTGGCTGGAGCTGATGGGAGCTGCAGTCCCAAGGATCTGAGGGCACCTGACTGGGGAACATTACCCTACATGAATGGCTTTCTGGGTAGCTATGAGTAGCAAAAGACACATACTTCCTGGTAATATATAAAGAAGATGAAAGGCAAGCCCAAATCCTGCACCAGATTCCAGATTTCCTGGAACTGAACTGCTCTAAGTCCTGGAGGAAGAGGCTAAGCCTGAGAGCTCTCTGGGCCAGCAGGAAGCTTGCACAACACCTTCTGTGGTTTGGCCACACCAACCACTTAGACACAAGTGCTCGGCTATGTCAACTGCAAGGCAAGTGTCGCTGCAATGGGATCACCTGTGTCATTTCTGGTATCTTTTGGAGGAAGTCCAAGGCTGGTCTAAGTGGGTTTCAATTCCATGTCAGAAACTGAACTGAAAATAACCTTTCACAGGGTTTGGTTGAGAAGAGCAAGGGCTAGCCATATGGGCTGCTCCCCTGGGCTAACTCACAAACTCAGGTGGAAAAGGGCTCACTAGCCCCGTTCCACTCTGCCAACCCATGTCTACAGCAACAAAAGCTACAACAAATCCTTTCCTTTTCCTGCTCACAAATCTGTAATCATTAAAAAAGCTTGGAATAGTCAGCACAATAGAGCTCCTGCCACTGGCTCTAAAGTGGAACATGATCCATCTTCACCAACTTGGGTTCCTCAAGATTTTTGTTAGAACTTCTGTCAGTCCCAGCATCAAGGCCAATGATAAGGCATGATGGGAGCTGTAGTCCTGAACATATGGAGGGACCTAGGCTGGAGAAGGCTATCTTAGAAAACATTTTCTCTTTCAGAATAATAACTGAAATTCCTCTTTGATAATATCATTTACTCAATAAATGACTTAAGTATTGTTTCAAAGAGTATCAAATGGTTGCAGATCAATTGTTAGAACAAAGATTTAAACATGGCTGTGTTGATGGCAAAAGCATCATTCTTGCATTTAACTGGATTATTGCTATTTTCTGCAAGTTTTGGGGAAATGTTTTTCCTCAATCATTCTGGAATTTTTTTAATTGTAAAAATCTGGACCCCAGAAACATGGCATGCATACTAGGGGTTGCAGGGTGCACTTTGGGGTTATTTTGGACTTAAAACCTCATTGGGATCACAGTGTAATGTATATTTAGAAATGCAAGTACCAGCAGAAAGCAGTAATGAAACAACTCCTAATAAAAGTGAGATAAGAAAAAACAAAAGCAGAACTGCAGCTGGATATTAAGAAAATAAAAAACATGTCCACAGAAGAATTGTAGCACTTTACTGTTAATAATGAAGAAACTGAAACTGGAAAATTTGCATACCTTGACTGAGTCATCAACTTGAAAGGAGACTGCAGCTAAGAAATCCAAAGAAGAATGATACTAGGAAGAGTAGCAATGAAGGAATTAGAAAAGATCAAATGTAAGGATGTTTCATTAGAGACCAAGGTCAAGGTCACCCAGGCCACTGTATTCCCGAACGCAATGTAACGGTATGAACGCTGGACAGTAAACAAAAACAACAGGATGAAAACTGATGCATCACGCTGGAGAAAAGTTCTGTGAATATCCTGGATCAACAAAAAGATAAACACGTTTGTCCTAGATCAAATCAAGACGGAGCTTTCTCTAGAAGCAAAGATGACAAAAACTGAAGCTGCCATACGTTGGACTCATCATGAGAAGGCAAGACTACCTGAAGAAGACAATTACGTTATGGAAAGTTGAAGGCAGAAGACAAAAGAGAAGACCAAAAATGGGATAGACTGAATAAAGGCAGCCACAGCCTTGAACTTGGAAGAGCTGAATTCATAAATAGGAAATTTTGGAGGACTTTCGTTCATAGGCTTGCCATAAGTTAGAGACAACTTGATGGCATATAACAACAAAGTTTTAATTAATTTAAATATGTTGATGTGGTTCAAACCCACAGTAACATCTTCAGCCACCAGTGGAAGGCTTCCTGAACCAACGCATCAGTGATATAGTTTGAAGTCAGGGAAAAGTAGTAGGCCAGGGAACAAAGGTAAACATTTGACCCCAGTCTCCTCAGAAGAATAGAGTGGGCAGACCATCCCTTAGGGCAGCGGTGGTGAAACTATGGCACGCGTGCCTCAGTGGGCATGCAGAGCCCTCTCTGTCGGCACGCGAGCCAAGTCGCCCCAGCATCACCCCAGCAGGCGAGCTTCAGATAACAGTGAACATAGGGGCCATGCACACGCTCAGAAAGGAGTAGTGGCGCCAGGCTATGATGTCACGAGCCGCGAATCATTAGTTGTGACTCATCTGAGCTTTCGCATGGCCGGTCAGTGCTCTGCCAAGGATATAAATATATATATATATATATGCTTGGACTGGCTGTGAGTTTTAATACATTCATTTTTATTAACACAAGATTTTAGCTTTGAGTTTTCTTATGAAAAAATGAAAATTAATATCTAAGATTTAGCAAGCAGATGTTCTAATTAAGAGACTGAGAATCTTTTAATGTTGTGCTGTCCCCCTGGCATATTTGAATCTGCAGCATCATATTCAGGTTTAATTGCAGTGTTGGCACTTTGCGATAAATAAGAGGGTTTTGGGTTGCAGTTTGGGCACTAAAAGGTTCACCATCACCAACTTAGGGAGTTACAGGGATACACTATGGCAGAGTCCTTGCCTAAGTATGTTATAGTCATGCTTTCACTCAAGCAGGACAGGCAAACATATTCAACCCTAACAGCTATGTAAGTTGGCTTGAAGGCTTCATCACAGAAAACCAAAGATGAATCCAGATTTTACAAAGCCAAGTCCATTGGCCAGCTGGGAATCAGATGCCCACTTCACTGAAGCTGCTTCTCCCATTTTCACCGCAGGAGATAGACAGCATCCTTTACCTGGGTTTTCTTGCATTTTAATACAGGTTTCTATTTCTCTGCCTTTCTACATATTCTATTAACCAAGCAGAAGACTGCAACAGCAATACAGTTTTAGGGAAGCATATTTATGACAATATGCATAAATACATTTTTGTTCTGGATTGAAATTCAATAGCTGACTCTCCTTAATCTAAAAAATGCCACAGAAATGGGAGAGGCCCCGGAGGAGGATGACATCATGGGAAGGCCCCACAAAGCTCCATGAGGGAGAGGTCACAGGTGCACAGTAAATGCCTCCTGCAGATGGGCCCTTAGACATTGTTTGCATCGATATTTAGGGATAAACCACATTCCTTAGCCTGTTAAAGCCATTCAGGTGTCAGAAACCACTCAAAACACATGACCTGCAGTACTCAATGATGAACCATATTCTCCAGGGTTGCTTTGCATGTTAAGTTTTACAGTCGCACATTTACATTTATGTGGAAATCTACAAAAATGCACAATGAAGACGTGTTTTCAGAGGGGAAAGAAGCTGGGAGTGGCTGTAGCTCATGTGCGTGCAAGATGGTTGCCAACTTTTAAAGCCAGGCTCTGCAGCAGCAACTCTAACAAGGAATTTACAAACCAAGCTTTTGCCAGCATGTAGATAAATGGTATCACATGCTATTTGCTTGCTATCAGGCACAGCCAAAGTGGGCGGCTGAAAGTTGGCAACTCCAACATCAGTGGAAACAGGAATTTCCCACAGTGTAAGGGTAGCAGCAGGTGTGCTTTAAATAAAGGTTCCTTGATTACTGAACTGTAAGATTAGCTGTACAAAAGCAGCAAATAAGGATATACCAAAATGTTTACATAAAAGAAAGCCTTGATCTCAGTTCAAAGAAACTCCAGCTTTTAAGGCTTAGCAGGAAAACCATGTCCCATGGAAAACGATTCTGTAAAGAATGTTAATCAGCTTACCCATCCTCACTAGTGTTGATAAGGTCACAAATGTGCATAAACTGGCCCCACTCTTCTGTCTGCAGTGCTCCAAAAGTAGCCTTTTCTGCAATAAAAAAGATGTCAATTAAAGTATGTATTGCACACATACAACAAAGGACCAACCAGAGATCTAGCTTTGAATGACTGAGATAATTCAAGAGGGCATTTTGTAAAGAAACTCTGAGGTGGGGGATCAGATGGGCATCTGTCATGAAAGGTTTAAGCCTAAGAAATTCAACTGGATGCAGAAGGCTGAATTTGATGGAGTTGCAACATGATGTTACCAAGAGGGAATGGCAAGATCCTCACCAAGGCTCCATAAAACTTTAGAAAGCTAGCACATCACTAGCTTTCAGCAAACAAGTACCTGGGATTAAGGCAGAGATACAGAATCTCTTTCAGCCCAAGCGCTGAATTTCGTTTTGAAGAAGGGGTGGCATTCCAGTGATAGTGGGGCCAAAGGCAAAAGGGGAGGGACCGCCAAGGCCAGGATAGTTTAGCTTAAACCTCTTACTGCTAGCAACTGGGGCTCAGCAGAAGCATTTCAACTTTTTAGAATGGTGGGAAACATGCACAAAAGGCAGGCAAGCAGGGAAATAACTGGTGATTGGGGAAAAGTGGTGCGGTCTAAGAAAGGGGGTGGGCCAGATGAAAGGGGAACTCCAGCCAGCCAGAGGCTCTCATCCCTGGACTAGGGTGACCAAAAACAAAGGAAGACCACACTTCTATAGCTTTATTAATAACGGTTGTGCAAAGGATAGTTTTCTTTTTTTATAGGTGCTGTTTCTCAGGACAAGGATAAGAAGAGCTGTGGCTGCTGATACTCCCTCTCTTGGACAAATCCAGAAGGAACTGACCCTCTCTGCTTTGCCTTGCCTGTGGTCCGTCACTTGTGATGATGGAGTATTGGAGGAATTGCAAACTGACCACAATCACTTAACTCCAGAGACATTTCTCTCCACTGCCAGTTCAATGCAAACGGCTCCTGACCTTTAACAGACTATAAACTAGAAGTCATCTTTAAAGTATGCAGACAGCAGATCGCCTTGTTCTTGATTCTGTTCTAAGCTGCAGGACTGGGACACACCAGAAAAGGAAAGAGGGATTCTGAAGGAAGGGCACTGCATGCAATAATTGCTAGAAACCAGGTACATTGCTCAGACTCCACACTAAAAGCACCACAGACCAAAAGCACATCATTATTCTGAGACTGGATTGAGCAAGAAACATTGATGTTGCACTCTCAAATTGGAGCAATGCAACCAAGCCTTTGTTCTGCAGGATCCAAATTCAGCACTGCTAAAGAGAGTGACCTTCAGATCTTTGGCTGCTCAAAAAATTATTTGTAATGAACTTTGATTTCCTGCATCAGCCTTTCACATTCTGGTGAGCCCCAGATGGGTTGGGCACATAGTCATGTGCTAAGTGTACAGAGAACCACTGTGGTGGGTAAGTGGTGCACTGGGGACATGGGAGATCCAGGTTCTAGTCTCCACTTGGGCATGAAGCTCACTAGGAGCCATTGGGCCAACCAGACTCTCAGTCCATCCTACCTCACAGGGTTGTTGTTGTGAGGAGAAAATGGAGCTATGTAAGCTGCCTTGGGTTCCTTCCAAGAGGAAAAATAGGCAGGATATAAATTCCATGTAATAATAATAATAATAATAATGAGATAAGGGTACCAGCTTTCCCAGGCAAGGTCACTGAGAATGTGTCAGCAGAAAAGAAAGAAAGGTGGAGAGCACTGCAACTATTTAATGTTTGCTCAGGAGACAGCTGTTTAAAGTGCAGGAGTTACTGAAAACCCTTGACGATGCCCTCATAGCAAATGGCCACTCTTGCTTGAGAGCAAAACAGGTGACCATAACCTCCAGAATGGCAACTATAGTTGCTGCAGCTGCTGTTAGGTTTCTATCACCAGCCTGATGAACCCAGGAAACAATTTATTATCACTGCCCTCCAGACGTGCCAGTTTCCTGGAAAGTGCTAGGAAAAACCAAGAGAGCGCCTCTATGCACATGTATTAACAGAAAGGGGGCTGCCAGCCAAGGCTCCATTCAGACCCCCCCCCCAAAAAAGCGGCAAAGGCGGCTTACCACATTTTCAATACACAGTGCCGTCTAAAGGCATCATTAAACCTATGGTTTGAAGAGGCCAAAATGCACCCACCGAAGCTACCGCTTCGGGTCACTGACACCCCCCCCAGCTCACTCCGGTCTCCCAGACACTGACCGGCAGCAGCGCACCAGGGGCTCGGACAGGGTGGGCCTCCCTCGCAATCCCCCACCGCCTGCACGCGAAGCACGTGCTCGGACACCGACTGAGCCACGGCCCGACTCTTGCTTCGCTTGGCAGCGCCAGGGCAGGGGACGCGACGCTCGGCGGGCACCGCTTACCTATGAGGTGGCCCAGGGGCGTCCCGAAGGGGTCCTTCTGGCTCTTTCCAAAAGCCATGCTTGGCCCAGAGTCTCCGCTTTGCCCGCCCCAGTCGGTCAGAGCGCGGCCAAACTTCCCCGGGGTTCGGGCAGCGGCGGCGACCTCTCTTATCCTGTTGCTTCTGAACCACCTTCCCGATCCGGAGAGGAGGAGCCCGGCGCCTTCCCAGGTGCTCCCACGGGCTCCTCGGCGGGGATCACGTGCTGCCGCGCCGCGATCTAACAGACCTTCCTCGGCGTGGAAACGAAAGCGGTGCGCGGGCGCGGCGGACAAAGAGCCGCCGCCGCCGCCGCGGTTTTGCTCCTCCCGAGGCGTGCGGGGGGCAGAGCGCCCTGCTGCACCCCCGGGCTGGGCTTCTCTGAGCGGTCCCCCTGCGGTGGCGAGGCGCGGCTGCAGCTCCCGCAGCGCAGCGGCTTCCCAGCCCCGGGACGCAGGGCGCACCCGCGCCAATACGAAGTATTCCGAAAAAAGAAGCGGGGGGCGGGTTGTCCGCTGTGGAGCTCAGAAAGGCGGGACTTCATCTCCATAGTAAACGCGGGGCTTGACGGGGCGGGCAGGCTTAGGACAGCCATCCGATCCTAAAGAGGTTTGACTCGGAAGTTAGTCCGGAAAATTCAGGGGCGTGGTGCGCCTTACTGCCCCCGAAGTGCGTATGTTTCGGAGTGGAACCGGGTGCTTGCTCCTTTTTCGTGGACTGTCGTTCCTCCATTTGAATCAAGTGACATTTGGGAGTTAAAAAAAAGCGTTGCAACCGCCTTGCATTTCTTTTGCGTATTCGCGGTGCATCGCGTAATGCAGCTTATCACAGTAGTCGTGAGAGCAGTGTGGGAAGGATCAGAATATGATATCGGCTGGTAGCCAGTATTACTCATTAATTTCAGAGGGTCTACCGTATGTAGACCTAGCATTGGATGCTGTCCTTTTGGCACAGAACTAAACTTGCCGTTTTCTACTTTCCCCACTTTAGAACAAACGAATGAAGAAAAAAAAATCCAAGTTTCTAGACCTTATGGACACAGAGATAATAACTGAGAGTATGCAGGCAATGCCTAATAAAATCACCAAAGTCAGAGGTCACTAAAGAAAGTTTCTGTTAGTCAGGTATGGGATTGGTGGCCCACTTAGACCCTTGAGTTCTTTCAAAGCCATAAAGATTATGCCCATTAGAAAACGAAAAACATAATAAAGTATTCAAAACAAGAGAAATAATACGTCTTTCTATAATTTATACAGGTTGCATAATTAATTCAATCTGTATAAATTACAGGTTGTATAAATTCTGGGCACAGAATTTGGATTGTGTGGATGGGATTTTTCTTAATTCATTTAAATAAATAATGGCAGAGTCCTGGTCTTTGGATTGCCCTGCTTCTATCACACAGGCTGTGGTACTGGTGCATCTGGATGAAAAATGGTTTATGAAATGGCCATATGATATTATTTCTTACACAGGCAGAATTCCTGCAAAAGGAGTCAAGAAACTAGTCAAGATTTTGTACAACCATTTTTTACTGCAAATATCTTCATGCAGTATTTATTTATTTAAAACATTTCTATCCTGTCCTTCATGACAGCATCTCAGGACAACTTACAAACCCACATTAGTTGCCATTTAGTGGCCAAGGGAAATTGTTCTTTGCAGGACTCTGAGAAACCTCCAGTATGTCAGAGCTTGATGGCTTATCTGTCACTTCCTGGTTAAAGCTGGAATCCTGGACCTGGCTACTCAGGAGTAATTCTAATTGCACTTGATGGGAATTTGTCCCAGGTAAGTGTATGTAGCACTGTAGCCTAAATTCCTCTCTGGAGGACCTTTAGAATGTGGCCTGATGTTTATATTCAGCTCCTTGAAACAACTCGCTCTGCCAATGCTCTTGAGTCACCTAGAACCGTTTTTCTGCTGGCTGCCCGTGTCCTTCTTGTGTCACACTGAGACCAAGAACTGGATTATGGCACCTCAGTTCTACTAGTCTGATTTTACCACTGTGTTATCATGAGACATTATTGTTAGAGAGAGAGAGAGAAGCTTAGACTATTTGTTGATTCTTATAATCATCCACTATGTCGTTCTGTAGAAAGAAAAATAGATGTGAGATAATATATGATGAAACCATCTGGTGTTCTTTTGTTGACTGTTACGCCTTCTTAACACAGCTTCTGCCCTTCCTTCCCTGCCCAGCACTTTTTCCTTGGATGTCAACATTCTTGGATGTTTTCATTTGCTTTCAGCAGTTCCATCTGAGCTGTGAATGCTGTGGGACCAGTGTGAGGACTGGTGGCATAAGGCGAAAAGGGACTCATTTGAATTAGTCATTGTGCTTTTCAGGAAAAAAAATACACAAAGTTAAAAACAAACATTGAACTCCTGATCATTGTCTCACATCAGTATGCTCAGGTGAAACTAACTAAGATGAGATAAAAAGGATATCTACATTACAGACAAATTCCAGTTTTACACCAACAGAAGAAGCTGCTTTGTACCAGGTCAGTTTGCCCACTAATTTCTAGCCAGAAGATCAGACCTGGGAGCTTTTATCATGCAATGCCATATATTCTATCCCTAAGCGATGGCCCTCCTTCCCAGCTGTTTAGCAGCTGCAGCTTTCCCCAAAGGGGAATTATGGTCTGATATAAATACTGAGCACTTTTCCACTGAGTGATGTGATGCAAGAACATGTAGGCCTATCAGATGCATATCATGCCTTTACTAAAGGGGAAGAAAGGGCAGGAGTGTTGTTGTTCACTTCCAAGCCAGATGACAACCCTTAGACAACAGTTAAGTCATCATTCAAGGCTCTGTTATAAGGCTATTTTGTATACAAGACTTAGGACTTTGACCTTGATGAGCCCGGGCAAGCAACTGCAGTATTGTACCCAACCAGTTTGGGACAAAGCACAGGAATACCTCTTCAGATTTCAGCAACATTAAGGTCCGTTGTTGAATATATTTCAGGAAAAACACAAACCATTTAAAAATGATATTTTCTATAGTACATTATAACAGTGTGTAGCATACTGCAGTCATCATTTTTGCAAAGCAAAGGGGTTTGTCTTGCTTTTGGCATTCCCGCAGTATACAGACTTGCTTAATGGTTTATAACAGTGATTGTGCAAAGGTGCAAAAGAGGGAAGCTGGCCAGATATGTAAGTGAACATGAACAATCACCTTCCACCAAACTGCAGTGGTAGTACCCACAGCTAAACCATGATGAGAAATGATGTTCTCTAACTCCAGAATAACGACAAGCCATCATGGTAATCTGCACAGCAAAGGTTGTAGTGCAAAACCTGCGGCGAGCATTGCTGATCCACGTTTGGCCCTTTTCAGCCCCCAGAGAAAACATAACTTGGATTCATTCTACACTATGGCAAGGGATGCTATACATCCATCGATATATGCTATATTCTATACATCCATCATCCTACAAATGATCGCCATGAATTTTCCCAAGCAGACATGCTACAATTAACTGCACTATATTTAACGTAAACATGCACGTGTATATGCTGCCATTTGAGCAGCTGTTACAGAATTTCAGGAAGGCTATTAACGAAATAGCTCCAGCCATGCTTATGAACAGTGCTATTCACCTTGCTGAAGCTTTGTGCCATAAAGCGTGATTGCCTTCTTCAGCTGGATGTGGGCATGACAGATAGACACTGTGGTGTCACTAAATCACAACTTAATCTGTAGCTTGGACAGATTTAATATGTGGGACAAGTGAAGGACAAAACCAAAAACAGGATCATTAAGCTTGCAATCTCATACACAGATACGGGGAAAGCCGGCCCCAACTTGGTGCTCTGTAAAAGTTTTGCATCTTAGCTCACATCAGATCCAGCCAGCATGGGTAAAATTAGGAATTCTGTGAGCTGAGGTCCCAGACATCTGGGGCAGGGGAGGCTGTACTAGGGAGCAATTCAGTTAAACTTGGAAGTTAGTAAACATGTTTGGGCTTCAATATTGTATGGCTTGATTTGCATGATTGAAGGCCAGGCCTTCCTGAAGTTGAAAGAGGCAAGATGACTTTAAGAAATGGGGTGCCCACCATTTGCCTGCATCCTTACAGGCCTGGCCTTCCTGAAGGCTGTGAAGATTTGATCATATTCTTGATCTTGGTTTATATGCCATCAAGCCAAGTGCTCATGGCTGATATACAAGCAAGAAACAACTTACTACAATAAGATGATTTTTAAGGTAGAAGGTTATATCCAATATTAGCCCCACTGAAATTAGATCCTTGGAATTACATGGGATGTAAGTTATTCTATCATTGCATTGGATCCTAAGAGTCTGGGCTTGTATCTAATATCAATCTAACTTAAACCTTACTGATTTCTATTCTAGGAGGACTAATATTACATACAACCTCTTGATGTAATGTTAACATGGCATTTCCCTGCCCCACAGAACTAGCACCATTCCCAAAGTGTGAGGCTTCTGGAGCTGTGTGACTGTGACTTGGTTGAAGAACACAAGGAGTCTGGAATTGGCACATTCCACCCAATTAATTATGACAAGGATGACAGCAGCAAAACTGACTTATTCTCAAGAATAAGTTGGATCACGGCAAAATGGCAATCCACCCAGAGTGCATGGCAGAGTTGCCTTTTATACCTTTGCTGACAAGGCAGTGCCGACAGCTGCCTATTGGATTAAAATTTCCACTGAGGGCTGATTGATGCTTGGGAATTCAGCGGGTTCCTGTGCTTACCTGAGAGGCTGGGCTACCTGGGCGTTGGGCTGGGAGCTCTGGCGGGAGATTTCTCAGTCCCTGGCTGTGCGGAACGCTCCAGTTGACCCTGATGGCACTTGAGAATGTGACCAGCCTGCCTTGGGAAATTAGAGACTCCCCATACGTGACCCAAACATGTCTGCCACCCACGCAAGTTACCCATAGGATCTGCCAAGCCACTAAAATTAGCACCAAAAAAGAGGGGTACCGTCTCTGGAATGCTGTCTCAAAAAGCCAAAAAGAGTGTATTCTGTACTCCTCATTCCACCTCTTTGAATGATGGAGAGGCTTGAAGGTCCGCCAAGGACCAGATGTCTGAGAAATTGGAGCTTCCACTGCTTCTCATACTGAGGGCATTGATATTGTTCTGAATGCTGGCTAGGCTGTGCCAGCCCCATCCTGTCTCCCTCTGTGTGGAAGTGGGGTAGGATTGAATATTAATGGCATGGGATGTTCAGGAAATCCTGAACATTAGTTTCTTTTTATGAGATGCTTCCTTGATGTTACAGCAGATAGTGTGGGAAGCTTGGGGTGTGGAAGCCGTCAGTCTTTGGGAAGGCGGCGTGTCCTTCCCCTCACCCAGCTAAGGGAGGAGGAGCCTC